CTTGAACAATTTAAAACATATTTTTGTACGGATAAGGCAAGTAATAATAACACCAATAATAATAATTCGGAAATTTTCTAAATTTTTACCTTGATTTTTAGGAAATATTTCTTTGATTAAAACCCATTTCAGAATACGCATGGGCCGTTCAACTCTTAAAAATCTTTAACTTTATAAGACTACTATGATTAAAGTATATGTAGCTAAACAGTGCCAACTGCATCTAACCGACCATTAGTTTATTTTCCTATTTTCAGTCTATCACTTCTTGTAGCTAACTAAAAGTAACAATTTGAGTCAACGAAAATCTGACAAACAAAAGTGGCTACTAAAAATCCCACTAACTGTACGTAAATAATTAATTGTTTTCAATCCGTTATGTACCATTATCCAGGAATAATACCCAAGTTTTGTCCTGCTTCCTTTCTTCTGCTTTTTTTTGTAGGGAATTTTGAAAATCGGCGAACAACATGGGGCAGTATAGGCCAGAATGCCAAAATATTGTCGATTACGTTAACCAACAGCAACGTGTTTTTTCCTTTCTTTTGTGTGTTTTGATTATGTACATAGAATTTTGAACGTTTGTACTCGCCACTTAAAAGCCCGATTTCATGAATTTCTACTGCATCTGAATGTGTCGAACAGACGGAAAAGCCGTAAAGCCGTCGAAAAGCCTAAGCCGTCTTTAGCGCTTTTTATCGTCCTCGGTTTCTCCAGTCTTATGTTGTCTGATGACCCTAATCTTCATCGCTTGCACAGACTTGTCGTTGCTATCCGACTGACAGACTACAGTGTTTTTTTATTCTTTGCTTGATCTATGACAACGGTTAATCAATCAATTTATTAGGTTTCAAGTAAAATATAGCAAAGGTATTGTTGCTTATATTTTTGCCGTTTTACAATTACTGTTTAAGCAGGCAACTATCAATTTACAATTATCTATGTACAATTTTGCAAACATTAGTTTTAACGCTTCTGTATGTTACTTTAATACCGTCTGCATAGCTTTGCCCACGTTTTTTACTCTGTTGAAATAAGAATCTCTATAGTTTTTGGTTGCACAAACAGCCAACTCCTGACGAAGCTTCAAATGGAAATTTTTTTTAAATTTTCTTCCTGAAAAACCTATTTTTTTAAAAATAACTGGTAATAAATCTCAAAAAAGTAAAGGAACCTTAATGTAACTCAGCATGAAAAAGATACTATGCGTGTGTAACATCCATAAAGATACCAAAAAAGTGCGTTTAAGACCTCATAAGGTGCTACTTATTGTACAAAAACAGTCACATAAAAAAACAATTCCTTAAAATAAGCCGGTGAGACTGTTACCTCATCGTAACCACCTCACACTTGAACTACCATACTATACAATTGAAGATCATTTTCATTTTCTAAAAAAAAAAAACGCGAATCAAGTTGATCACATATGAACAAAAGAAAGTCATCAGCTTTTTAAATGTAGAGAGTACACAAGACAGCTTCAGAACAAACAAGATGATATTCCAATCACGATCTTCCAATTTGATTTGCCTGATGTCTTCTTCCTAAGACCGATTTTTTTTCAAAAAAAAATTTTCGATAGCTTATACGTCGCCAATTCCCAAGTCGTCCAGACCCACCGATCAGAATTTTGTGCTGTTTCAAATCTTCAATTCCACATTCGAAACTTTCGTACTGCCGTTGATCAAATGTAAAATTCTGGCGAAATACAGCATTTCTTGAGCTGGTAATCAAGATCGATTTATCGGAACCCGCATATGAGAACGGCATCCCAATAATTTCAAAATAAAAATTAATTAAGCAATAATGTTTCTCCCGAAAAAACATTAAGAACATTCATGTTATGCATCTCAAGAAGAAACACGAGACAAGTTAGCGAAGAAAACAATAATAACTCCCAGACACAGAAAATAGGTCTTTGGCATTAATCAGCACCTTTATTGAAAACCAAGTAGAAGAAACCGTATAACAAAATAAAAAAGGTTTAAATGGAGGACGAGCTTAAATCTTGCAAAGAAGCCCATGTCATACATTAAAGTATAAGCAACAAGGACGTGGATAACTTCAACTCAGGAAAGCTAGTTAAACCAAGAAACATATCTGACATATAAACAAAACAGGGCGGTCGTGCCTTCGACAACCGGAAAT